TTAAACTGCTGTGGTTTGGAATGCTCGTTTGGTGCTTTTGTGGCTCTGTTGAGGTCTTCCAGTATTAAGGAGCAATGCTGTGAGTTCATAAATACTAAGTATGTGGGAAAAGCATGCTGCTTTGCAGACAGGTGAATTGGCTGCCTGCAGGTGTGGTACACTTTCCAGGCTTCTAAGAGAATGGCTAAGATATATTACTCTTATAATTATCTCAATCAGAGGTCAGTAAAATTAACGTCTTCTTTCTTGTATTTCTGGTTGCATGCAATTTAGTGTCACTGTGTGAATGTGTTGCTTTCAGTCTGTTAGTTTTCTTCTAACAACTTTTTCATTACTTTTTGAGTACTACTTAGTAACTGGAGAAAAATTCAACTTCTGAAGCTTTCCTGTTGTCATGTTGGTGCTTATTTTGGTTCTGCACGTAAGAGATGTGAGTTTTCTCATTTGATTCGTAATCAAACGTTGTGAAATGCGTGAGAGGAAATATGTCTATGCTCAAAGTAGATGTCTAATTCTCCTCAATGAGCTACACAGAGGAAAAAGTTGTTACGCAAAGTTTCAAGATCCCCTTGAGCATAATAAACTTCAAAATCAGCGTGCAAATTGAATCTATATAACGGCATGTTGCAAAATCCTCCTTCTAAGGTTGTCTTGGAGAAGGAATTCTCTTTGCTGCTGGTCCCCTGAATCACAGGCCTGCCTTGAGCTCCAGCAGCTCATGCAGGAGCTGAGTTTGGAGCTTGGCTTTGCTAATGAAGCTGTGGCCAGATGGAGCCCCTGGGGACAGTGTTTCCAAGCCCCCCTCTCAGCTGGGTAATTGGCTGCGGGGCTCAGCTGGGGGTGAACCATGGCACAGGGCTGGATTTTTCTCCCAGCTCTCTGCCACCGTCGGCCCCACAGCAACAAACTCCAGCATCCTAAGCACAGGAAAGGAAAGAAACACTTGAAGCTGTCCTATCCCAGCCTGAATATAGGGAGAGAAGGAGGTGCATCACCTGAGTTCTGTGCGTGGTTGTTCTTCAGAAACCTGTGTGTGAACAGCAGGCTTGAGCTTCTCCAGATGATAAAAGAGGTATCTAACACACCTTTGTAGGGTAAGAAGTAGCCCCCATTGGGACTCAGGGCGTGATTTGGAAGGTGCAGGAGAAGTGAAATGTCCCCTCTTGTCCATTCCTCTAAGTTCTGTAAATACAACATATTCTTTCTGCAGGGAGAAAGAGCTTTTAGTTAGTGTACAGAATTCAGGTTTCCTGCAGGGTGTGATAGTTAGCACTGGGGAAATTCGTTTCAGATTCAGCTGTCTTGTTATTTGGAATAGCACAGCTTAAAGATTCCAGAAGCACGCCATAAATTCTGTTATGTTTCAGTTTAGTACAAGATGAAATGCTGCATCTTTTCTGAAAGTTTCACAGTCTTAATGACTTTGCATTGGTGTAGGTGACATGGAATACTACATATGCTATAGATCTTAAAGCTTTATCTCTCAGTGCTGTTTGGCATAATGTAAGATCTTGCTACTGCCTTAAACAGATGATGCTAGAATTAATATCTTTATTGTGAAGGAATTATCATAGGGAGGCATGTGGAGGAGAAAGGTGGATATTCCCTCTTCCTCTGAGATATGTGAAACATTGTGCGCTGGGTGAAATTGGTATAGAATCTTGTCCAAATTCCAGGATTAATTCCAGGAAAAAAAAAGAACCTTTTATATCACAAAATAGGTCTAAAACTGGGAAGAAATAAAGTTTTAGACTCTCTTAAATGCCACAAAAAGGTTTTCCTTGATTCTGCTTTAGCTTCTGTCCTCTTCATTGCAGAAGAGCACTTGAAAATGAAGTTATTCTCAGCCAGGTTGCATAGAATAAAACCAGGAGAGATCAGATTTCTTGATTTCAGATTTAAGATGAATGAACTGGTATGAAATACATTGCATAAGGTTTTACAGTAATTATCCAGAAGTCACTTGATATTTTTGCTTATAGTGTATACCAGACACTCAGGAAGGGGGAAACTTCCCTTGAAGATTTCAGTCTGCCTGCATGCTGCCCTGAAGTTTTCCTTCATATTTTACGCTTAGTTATTGCTGGGATCACAGGCTTAATATTTAATCCCTGTTCCAGAGAACCACAGCAGAATTGAATAATAGCAGACATGATTCAAACTGCAACTTTAGAAGTTGCCAGCGATCACACTGTTTGACCAACTATAGAAACGTGTGCATGAGGAAGCGGAATATACTGCGGGGGTAGAGATGGAGCATACCACCACCATTAGGCAATCTGCAAGTTTTCCAGCTATAATCTGTTGGATGTAACAGCACGTGTTCCCTGTGTGCCAGCAGTTCTGATACTGGTAGCCCTCTTTCAAACCCTTGAGTACTCGGAGCTGCAGTTTTAAGGCACAATCTGGCAAATGTGGTAGGGATTGAAGTAGTGACAGCTTTCTGCTCCGTGTCACAGTTCTGCTGCCTTCCTCTGGACATGCTCTATGGTGCCTTTCTTGTGATGAGAGGCTCAACACGGAACAGAGCGCTGAGGTATGGCCTCACCTGTGCTGAGTACAGAGGGATGGCCACCTCCATGCTTCTGCTGGCAGCGCTGTTTCTGATACAAGCCAGGATGCTATTGGTCTTCTGGGCCAGCTGAGCACACTGCTGGCCTGTGTTCAGCTGAGCATCGACCAACACCCCCAGGTCCTTCTCCTCCAGATGCGTGGGGTTGTTGTGGCCAAAGAGCAGGACCTGGCGCTTGGTCTTGGTGAAGCTCATTCTGTTGGCCCCATTGGCCAGCTATCCAACCTGTCCAGATCATTCTGTAGGGCCTTCCTAGCCCCAGGCAGATCAACGCTTCCTCCAACTTGGTGTAATCTGCACACTTCCTTAGGGTGCACTCAGTCCCCTCCTTTGGTTAATCAATGAAGTTGTTAAGCAGGATTGCCTCACTGCTGACCCCTGGGGAGCACTACTCATGGCTAGTTGCCAGCTGGATGTATCTCTGTTCATCACCATTCTCTGCATGGTAGTGGAAACAGTAAACAGGCAGGAAAAATGATTTTCTGCTTTTGGGACAGAGCACTAAGCTAGATGCACTGACTTCTGTCATGTTAGGGTTCTTCTTAATTACTTTATTGCTGCTTTTTCCTTGCATGATTGAGGTTTGTACTTTGCTGTGCCTCCTGTAGGCATGGAGAAGCGTGCAACTTCTGCATATGTTAAGCTGGCTGAAAGATTGTCCTGTGTGTATTCATCACAGTTGGCTGCAGCGTTAAGGTGAACAAAATCCTGTCCTACTTGTGTCACGTTCTCTTTGCTCACCCTTTGGAAGAAATGAGATTGCTGCTGGAGTAGCTTGTTGAAATGCCTACTGATACAACTGGCAAATCCATGACATGGCATAACCATGGCTAGAAGAGCAGTCAGAGCCTCCCAGAATCACACTTACTCTGCAGGCATGGCATATATATTGTTTTCTTAAATCATGTGCCCTCTATTTAAAAATAAATTGTTTTAATATGAATATGACCGTGGGACTAACAGATAAACTGTGCTTTATGAAAGCATCTATGAAAACTAGTAAATGTGTAAGGGAAGTGGTAGAAGTCAAGTAAAGAATTTGAAAATTCTGATTAGTTGGGGTTGAACTGTCAGTCTTACGGAAATGGGGAGAGGAGGATTTTTGCCTCAGACTATCTGGAAAATGTAAAGCAAGTCTGAGATGCACGGGCTTTCTGCATGTAGTCTATTTCAAGATTTAATCACCGTGCATTTGAGGCATAAACACAAATAGTGGTCTGTATTTAAAAAAAAAAAAGCATCAGAAATTGTATATAGATATCAGTGTTATCTCAAGGGAGAGAATACAGCAAGCTTGGACACATCCTCTCGGGGGTGTTGTAAAGCTGAAAATAGATAAAAGGACAGAGAATGTTTGGAAGGTCTGAAAGAATAGGCAATTTAACATCTTGGTAAGTGAGACTGCTGAAGTGCCTACTTTATAATGCTGATAATCAGCGCAGTTGAAAGGTAACAAATCAGAAGCTGAAGAGTTGGTGATGCCTGTATTATGTGTTAGTGAGCTCCATAAACTTGGGAAGAACGGGTGTGTGGATGAGCAGCGCTGGAGGTGTTTGGTTGGGGATGTCTGTCAGTATTGGCTCCCAGGGAAAACATAGCTTGAGTGTCCTGCTTGGCACTGGATTGAAGACGTTGGCTGTTGAGGTTATTTCAGTAGTTTGCTGTAGCTGGGGCTCCAGTACAACACTTCTGCAGTCTGCAAAATGTGACCTCCAGCCTGACTTATTGGCCACAATTCTGCAATAATTTAATACCACTGAAAGAACAGTTCTACTCATGCTGTGGTCTTATGTGAAGGTGAAACCTTTCATGTAGGATAGATGAGTTATTATTTAAAGCTGCCTGTGGAATATAACCCAGCTTTTGTTGACCTGTTGGTTCTCATTGAAATTGAGAAGGCGTGATGAAGCAAAAATCAGCCAGGAATACCATAACCTGAAGTGTCCCAAATGAACCATTCCTCTTTTGCAGATGAGAAACCTTACAAGGTGAGGTATATTTTGGATAGAAGGGAGGAGCGTGCCTGCACAGTATGCACATAAGCTGCCTAGAAAGCTCTGATTGTGTAGCTTGAAGGTAACATTTTGTACTTGGCTCAACAAGGTATTAACTATTACAACTTAGAGTGAAGTTTGACAGCACGGTAAGTTTGTGGAATTCAGATATCCAGTTACTGCCTGGAAATAAGACTAGTTCTGACTTCAATGCAGTGCTTCTGTCTGTAGATGATGCTGTCCTCAAACAAGCTCCAATAGCTGTCTGCTTAAAATGATACAGCTGATTTGGGGCTTGTATTTTAATTCCTGAAAGTAGCCTGATACAAACTGTAAAACTAGGAAGTGTGTGTGTGTGTGTGTGTGTGTGTGTGTGTGTGTGTGTGTATGTATGTATATATATATGTAAAATATGTATATGTGTGTATATATATATATAAAAAAAAACTGGCTGTCATTTCTTCCAATCCTTTTGAAGTACAAATAGAGACGAATGCCAGACAGAGCTCAAGATTCAGCATCCCTCCTGATGTTTTATGTGTCCCGACTGGGGTAGTTGATATCAAATGCAAGGGTGTCGGAATTCAAAACAAACACAACTACGCCACTCAGGTAGCTACAAAATGAGACTTTAAATATTCTTTAATGGATTTTTGAAAGAGTTGATGATTTAAATTAGTGACGTCTTGGAAGGTTGATTATCTATCGGCTGTCGAGTTGTAAGTTAGAGCCACGGAGTAAACTCATCATCAAAATTTAAAGTGAATTTCAGATCCGCCTTCTGAACTATTACCTGAATTGTTTGGAGGTGGCGTGTCCTACAGCATTTGATAATGGAAGATCCTAAGCAAGGAGCGTTCTCAAGTAAAACCTCGGTGCTAATGTGTCTGTTTCGGTTTGCGTTTTTAGGGATCAGACAGAAATCTCTAACTGTGTGCTGAGCGTTCTGTCTGGTGGGAATCATGTCATCCATACTGCCATTCACTCCACCGGTTGTGAAGAGACTTCTTGGGTGGAAAAAATCTGCTGGTGGTTCCGGAGGGGCCAGCGGTGAGCAGAATGGGCAGGAGGAGAAGTGGTGCGAAAAAGCGGTGAAAAGCTTGGTCAAGAAGCTAAAGAAAACAGGACAGCTGGATGAGCTTGAGAAGGCCATTACCACTCAGAACTGCAATACCAAGTGTGTGACCATACCAAGGTAAGTCCTGTTGCGTTCAACATTCCTTACAGACACTTAAGGAATGACTAAATGGATGTTAATTTGTGTGAACAAATCAATAACAGAATCAGTTGCATGCCTTTGATTCTTTAAAAGTTCTTTAAAACCTGTTTTGGTTTTGTGTACTGCTTGCTTCAGTTCTTAGAACTGAATCACATGCTTTGTACATTCACAATTTCTTATAAGTTTACAACTCAGTTTTTATTACTAACTGGATTCCAGTTTGTGAATGTTCTGGTGGTGGCTAGCGCAGCTCTTTGCTCGTAACACTGCCATATGCTTTTATTTTATAACTCTCTCTGTATTCAGAGGGGCTTATTTGAACTCACACTTCCACATTAACCAAAAAAAGACTAGTTTTTCCTTGGTCAACACTTCAGTCCTCTCAATTATTATTAATAATTTCAGTTGTGTATGGAAGTTTTGTTGAAGTTTTGCAAACTGCATCCATTTTCCCATTTGAAGGGAAACATCAGTGGAAGCAGTTTTTCTGAAGACTTATTACTATTTGTTATTGGTTTATGAAAATGCTTTTCATTCAATAGCTTAAGAGTACTTCTAGATCTTCTCTTCTGCTCCTTATATGCATGTATATTTAGGTAAACAGCTCGCATTCTACTCCTGTGACTTTCTCAATTCATTGCAATTGCTGTGCAAGGGGCAAGGGTCGTGTTTGTGAAGTGTATCTCCAGGTTCATGTTGTAGGGAATCGCACTGACGGTGCGTGTGTAAGCTCTTCAGGGCTGCGACATGAATCTCAAATCACTCTGTGGTGTGTTTCTATGAAAATGCAAGAAAGTCTGGTGACAGGAATTTTTTTGGGTGTTGAGCCCCATGATGCTTAGAATCAGTTTCTAAGAGAGAGAAACTGCGTATTTTACGACCTTCATTTCTGTATTATTAGCACACTGATCCCAGCTACTTTTAAGCTTTGTGTTAATCATAGTTCCATTTACATTCAACTGATGTCAGTCATGGTTGCCACTTAATCAAATGTGTTACGGCTGTTACCTGATCATGGTTTTAGCATTACCCTATATTTGACATAGCCTTTTCTGTAATCCATACACATAGCTGCTTTCATTCTGCCATCCATTTTCTGTTCATCTTTTGTTTCTAATGTTGCCTCCCGCCTGCATTTTCTTTCCAAGCTGTCCCCAGATTTTCTGGGTTTCTCATCTTCTTTGTATAGTCTCTTTATTGTGATGGGCATTTCTGGATGTTCTGTTCTCATCTATCTTTGGGTCAGCTGAAGGAGAGCTCACCTATATCTTACTTTTCTTGACTGTTGTATAGGTAAACTGGTAGCTGGAGCTCTCTGGGTAGTGTTGGCATAAGGTTTGGTTCTAAACTAATGGCTTTGGTGCTAACAGGCAAGATGATATCAGTACACAGACTTCATTTTCATAGCTGGCTTTTGGACTGTTGCTGTTATTTCACTTTACAGCAGTAGTCTGGGCTGCCAGGGAAGACCAAATGTCAGCTCAGTGCTGTAGTGACTTCTGGAGTTTTTTGTTTTTGGATTCAGTAAGCTAATAAAACTGCTGCTGAGACCCATTCCAACGAATTTCTTAAAGATCTGCAGATCAGCATGGGTGCACAACAGAGGGTTGACATAGAAACATCTCGCCCACAGCGAAGGAACAAAACATTTGGGGTGCTCACTTGCTGAGGCTCACATTTGTCATGAGTGCAGGTTTGTTTGTTGTGTTGTTGCTGGCTTTTGACCAGTTTTAGATTCAGTTTTGATAACTGCTTAACTCAGGAGATCAGCAAGTGCTGTGAGATGCCCCTTTGTGGAGCTGTTGCTTTACAACATCACTAGAAGTTTCACTTGTGGTTTCAAAAGCTGCTGGTCCCATTGCAAATTTCCATAGTTTGTTAAAAATGATTAATTGTAGTGTACTTTTTTTTTCATCTCAAAACTGAGAGTGGCTCGGATGGAACTGAATAAAGCTGCCCCTTTGGAAATCTGCATACACACAGCTTTTGATAATCCCGTTGTGTTGTTCTGTTTCTGTTTGTCAAGGTGACCACGCAAAGTGGGGCTGATGCTGTGTGAGCTACCCAAACTGCTCGTGTGAATTACCACAACTTCTTATGCAGACAAATTGAGGTTCTGAGAAAGCAGAAGCAAACAGATGGAGTGGGTGTCGGCATCACGCAGCAGGGATGCTGAGCTCCTCAGAAGTGGGTCAGTAATCTAGAGCAGAGGCTAAATAAGTACAGAGGTCCATTTCACACCAGCCCTTGAAGTAATTTGGAGTTATCTTGCTGAATCCTCCCGGAAAGCCAGTGGGATTCTAATCTCATAATCCTTAGGTATCCTTAAACTAAATGTGGAGACTTGAGTTCACTTTTCTAGAATATGTAATGAATTCAGGTGCGTTTAAGATCATGACTTTATGCTCTCCCCTGCAGTTCTGATATAAATAGAGCACAAGAAACAAGTCAGTGAAGAAACATTTTATGTAAGACTTCTATTGGAGTAGCTACTACCTCACTAGCATGGATAGAAATGAGTAGTTTGTAAATAACATTAATTAAAACCTGCATCCTTAAACAAACCAAACTACACCATGCAGTGCAGAGCTAGCTAGCAGGTTCACAGCCTGTGTCCGTGGTTTAAGAAGTTGTTGCAGTGGTGACAGAATGTTTGTGCTCAAGATAGGGAAAAATAAATCTCTGGTTTCAGTATTTTTGACTGTATCAGGCTGTGTGGCTCTCCTGTCTTGAAATACAGCAGTGGTTCTGCAAACTAATTCCATCCTGTGTTGTGCACAGTCTGCATGAGGCAGCGTTGGACTGAGGTACATGGTGTCATAGAGTGTAGGCACTCTTTTTGTTCCAGTATGTGTGGGAGGATAAGGAAGGGCTGGGTGCCTTCCATCAGTCTCAGCATCTGCAGCCTTCATTCATTTCAGTTTGCATAATGAATAGGGCTTCCATGCATGCCCTGACAAGGTGACTGCTAACTGGGAGGAAGGAGCAGCTAAAAGGTGTCTGTAGCAGTATACTTCTGTTTCTATTCCAGATGCTGTGTCCTCGTGTCAGTACTCTAGGAAGGTTTCATATTTCATATAGTTGAAGACTTTCTCCTTGAACAGACACAATTTTTGTTGGTCTTAATGCTAGTGGTTATATTAGAACTACTACATACATTTGCTGTTGTTACTGTGCTTGGAACTTAGCATTGAGTTTTCTTTGTGATGGGGAGGTTGAGTCTCTACAGAGGAGGTAAATCTAATCACTGCTTTTTAGTAATCTGTGGCTCAAAAGAAAAATATTGGATGTGTTGAGACGTGATCTGCTGGAGTACTGGCTGAAGGAAGGCTTTAAGACCAAGTTTCCTTAAGTCCCAGTTTAGGGATTTTTTTTTGCTGCGGTGCTTTAGAGTCCAGAGTGAAATGAGCAGCTGCTCTCTGTGCAGAGAGGAGTCTGACCCTCTTGCAAGCCCTTGTTTTCCTGCCTCCTGCGCCATTAGAGTTTGGGAAGGTGCTGTCTGGGAAATGGTTGCTTTTACTTCAGTTCAGTATGAATATGGAAAATGTCTTATCTCTGCCCTCTGCCCTTCTTGCTTCACATGAGGGATAGCATCTCTGTGCTGTTTCCTGATTTTCAGACACTTATTGTTACTTGTTTTTCAGCAGCCTCTCAAATGAAAAAATCAGAGAGGCTCAAATCCTGCTGTTGTTTGGGTTTGGTTAGTTTGTTTTTTTTTGTTTGTGGTTTTTTTTTTGTTTGTTTGTTTGTTTTTGAAAGGCTATAGCTGAATTGTGGAATTTGTAGTCAGTAGTGAATTCCATGCTTTTACCATTCAGAGGCAGAGGAGAAATCCAACAAAAGACTCCATCGTTTTGGAAATATAGAAGATTTCGAGGAGGCGTTGGGTAAAATACAAAGCAGATAACTGCTGGTGAATTGTTTGCTTTGAGTTGAGATTACAAGCTGCCTACTGACCAGTTCCTTAACTTTGTTGTATTTCCAATGTATTCTGAAAGGACTGAGACACTTAAAGCTGTATAATCTGGTGAAAGTTCACCAATCACCTAGAGGCAAGATCACGTGCCATGGTCCGAATTCTCCAAAGCAACAAGGAATTTCTCAAGCATGCCAGTGTTGTTCCCTTGTTTGCTTGCCCTGCAGCACTCTTCATCTTCTGCAGTGAGTTAGCAGTATGGCTAAGATAAGTAGCTTAGGCACAGCATATTGCGTGTGTTAAAATTGTGTTCTGAAAGTTGGCTCTTGTGTTACTTAACATAGCCTCTGTGCGTGTAGCTAAATAATGCTAATGAAGTGTTTACAAAAGAGTTAGCAGCAGAAGTAAACTAGGCAAATAAAGGCATTTGTAATGATGGGACCGAGTCGAATGCTCGTGAGCAAGCATATTTTAAAATGCTGAGATTTGGTTGTCTTTTTCTTCATACATAAAAAGTAAATGGTAGTTTAGGTATAAAGCTCTCTGTTTTTATTTAACATAACCTGTGCTACCAGTTACTTTTTTGTTTTTTTTTTTAATTCCATGGGAATGTTTGTTGGGAAAGAGCTCAGACAGCTGCATGCAGTCACTTAGTTTTCAGGATGCCTTTGATTACCAGTAGATCAGGGCTGCTAACTTACCTGTCTTCTAGAACAGATTGCTTCTGAGCTTTTAATATTTTTCCCCAAAATACAGTACTACAGAGAAATAAATTTCTATGTTCCTTCTCAGATTAAAGCTACAGAATATGAGTGATTTCAACAGTCCCTCTGGGAGGGGGCAAAAGGTCCCTCTGGAAATGCTTTTAGAATTCCAGCATCTGCTGTGAAGCTGTGAGGACAGCAGCAGGCAGTTGGATTGGCACAGCAGCTCCTAAAATAACATTGCTATCCAGACAGAGGTGAAGTGTGTTTTCCCAGAAACACAACTTGGCAGCATCTGTTGGATTGTAGCTGTGATAATTCACTACTGGAGTTGGGGACGGAAATTAATTTTTAAT